AATAGAGTAGTTCTTGTCATCGGAATTTGTTTGATTAGTTGTATGCAGGTTGGGCCCAGATACTCTACAAAGTTCAAGCAATTTCCAACATTTCAGTATTTGTGGTACTCTTTCAAAAAATTATCTCCATGAAAACATTTACCTATCGGATCTGGCAGCTAAATCTTCACGCACATGTAGTAATGTCCGAGTAGTATGTTTCAAGTTGTGCCTGAGATTTCTAATGACCTAGCAATCTCAAAATTTAAAGTTATTTTGATTTCTAAGCTAGAGTTTATTTTAGCTTGTTACCTGAGAGCATTACACCAGAATGAATACAAGTAACTTCTCAAATAACAGCAACTAGTTTTTCAGAATATCCTTTTTTATACCTCTGTCAATATACCCTGCTTATTCCAGGCCATACGACATCTTCCCGATACATTTTTTCCGCCATTCATCAATGAAGTGACCTGCGATAGCGACAAAGCTTGTCTGTACTTCTATGATTACCGTGAGTTCATATACACTAACTATTTATTTGACAGATTAGCAGAGGTAAATTTAGCTCATGGAAAATGTCGACAAAAACATATGAATTTCGTGGTGCTGCGAAATGTGGGAACAAATGACTGTCAAATATGGAAAAAGTTCAATCTGAATGTGCGAGTTTCCTGCGAATGTTTTGTTGGTATGTTGAGGCTACGTTTTAGCTGAGGACGCTAAATACAAACTAATTCTAGATGAGATGTCGTTTTTCGCAAAATACGTGTGAACTGGATCATAAACAAAGTGATTCAAACCAAATCAATCTAGTCGCAGCAATGATTTCACATACAGTTCTCAGATCAGCTATTAGGTGACTCCCGAAAGCTCTTAACTAGTACTTATTTTAGTGTTCATTTCCTTTAGTTTCTTTGCTTGTGTCTAGTTCATTTCTCATAAGGATTTGTCTTTCATTTTCCGTCTTTCGTTTGTGTTCTTTCGTCCCATGCTCAGTTCGTACTCGTACCGGTCCATCATATCTCAGCCTCACAGATGATCAATGCTTTCGTTTTTTTT